GACCTAATGCTACAATTTTCCCTCAAAATTATGCATCTATAAGTCACTCCTCCATAGCCCCATAATTTGCTCCTAAGTACAAAAAACATGCCGAAATTCTCTCATTTCAGATTTTTTGTGTCCCCATTTCTTCTCTTCTTTATTTATCCTAACCCTGCCTGTTCTTCCACAGAAGCAAATGCTCTACTGAAATGGAAAGCCAGCTTTGAAAATCCCAACAATTCAGTACTAAATTCATGGACCTTTGAACCCGTCAATTCCACCAAGTTTTCTGGCCATCCAAAAGCAACTGCCAGTGCCAATCCGTGTAATTGGTATGGAGTTTCTTGCATCTATGGAAGTGTTCATGGACTGAACCTCACAAATGCAAGTATTCATGCCACTCTATATAAATTTCCGTTCACGTCTCTTCAAAATCTCACTTATATGAATCTCAGCAACAACCAAATTTATGGATCCATACATGAAGAAATGGGAAATCTCATCAATCTTGTAGAAGTTGACATGGGCTCAAACATGCTGACAGGTTCCATTCCTCCCACTCTAGGAAACTTGGATCAGCTACAAATTTTACACCTTTTCAAAAATAAACTTGTTGGTTCAATTCCTCCTGAGGTAGGGAAGCTAAAATCACTTCAGAGACTAAATTTAGGGACAAATAATCTTACTGGTCCAATCCCAGCTTCGCTAGGTGAAGCTACAAGTCTAATTATTTTGCGCCTCTTCGATAATCGACTTTCTGGTTCTATTCCTACTGAGTTAGGAAAGCTAAAATCACTCAAGAGACTGTGCTTGAGGAGAAATAATCTCACAGGTCCAATACCAATTTCTTTAGGTGATTTAAGCCATTTAAATTTTTTGTCCCTACCTCACAACAAACTTTCTGGCTCCATTCCAAGTGAACTGGGAAAACTGAAAAAACTGCTCAGGCTGACGTTGTATAGAAATCGATTTTCCGGTCATTTGCCAGAGTTATGTGGTGGAGGAGTACTAGAAAGATTAGTTGTGCATTCCAATAGACTTTCAGGCCCAATCCCTCAGAGCTTAAAGAACTGCTCCAGTCTTGTCAGAGTCAGATTTGAACGCAACCGGTTTTCTGGGAATCTGTCCGAAGAATTTGGTGTCTATCCAATTTTGGCATTCATCGATCTTAGTGATAATAAATTCTTTGGTGAACTCTCCATTAATTGGAATAGTAGTAAACAGCTACAAAGTCTGAAAGTTGCGAGGAACAACCTTACGGGACGCATTCCTCCAGAATTTGGAAATTTGAGTCAACTACGTCTACTCGATCTTTCTTCAAATAAGTTATATGGGGAGATCCCGAAGGAAATTGGGAAGCTGATTTCACTTCTGGAACTTCGTTTGAATGACAACCAACTTTCTAGGGATATACCTGAAGAATTGGGATCACTCTCAAAGTTGATATACCTTGACCTTTCCAGAAACATATTGACAGGTCAAATACCAAGATATTTAGCAAACATCAGGCAATTGTATCACTTGAATTTGAGCAACAACTATTTTATCCAAGGAATACCTATTCAGCTTGGTAAGTTAATTCTTGTGTCCGAGTTGGATATGAGTAATAATTCACTCACTGGAGAAATACCATCTGAATTAGGAAAAATGTCAAGCCTGGAGATGTTAAACCTCTCCCACAATCACCTCTTTGGACTCATTCCTGAGAGTTTTCAAGAAATGCCTGGTTCAGTGAACATTGATATATCCTATAACGACTTGGAGGGTCCGATTCCTAATAGCAAATCCTTTCAAAATATCTCTATAGAACAACTACAAGGGAACAAAAGATTGTGCGGAAATATTTCAGGATTACAAAAATGCAAAAGCAAAAACCCTGAGACACGAAATGGCCGCAAACTCATTTTGATGATTGCAATCCCTCTTCTTGGTGCACCTCTGCTTCTATTTGCTTCAGTTGGGCTCTTCATCATGTATAAACTCAGACAGGGGAATTCAATGAATGAAGATTATGATTGTCTCACCATATTCAATAGAAAACTCACGTATAAAGACATCTTAGAGGCCACAAATGAATTTGATGAAGCATTTTGCATCGGAAGAGGAGGATGTGGAAGTGTTTACAAGGCACGACTTTCATTTCAAAACACGGTAGCAGCAAGAAGACTTCAATCCTCGTCTGAAATAGCTATAGTAGCGGTGAAAAGACTTCATTCCTTGTCTGAAACGGTGAACCGTAAAGCTTTCCTCACTGAAATAAGAGCACTGGGAGAAATCAGGCACCGGAACATTGTGAAACTTTATGGTTTCTGCTCAAATGATCAACACTCATTTTTGGTCTATGAATACCTTGACAAAGGTAGTTTGGCCAAAGCTCTGAGCATAGATGAAGAAGCTAAGACATTGAATTGGCCTAAAAGGTTTAATATCTTGAAAGGCACGGCTCATGCTTTGTCTTATATGCATCATTGTTGTTTGCCTCCAATTGTTCATCGAGACATATCAAGCAACAACATTTTGCTTGATTCACATTACGAGGCTCATATTTCAGATTTTGGCACTGCAAAGTTTTTGAAATCGGACTCATCGAATTTCAGCACTCTTGCAGGCACATATGGCTACATTGCACCGGGTAATATTTCCATTTTCGTATGTTTGTTCAATGAATATAGATACATGGCTTTGATTGTATTCATTCCTTTTCTTTTGGGCAGAGCTTGCATACACAATGAAGGTGACTGAAAAATGTGATGTATATAGCTTCGGAGTGTTGGCATTGGAAGTGATCAAAGGAAAGCATCCTGGTGACAGCATTCAAAATGTAACAACTTTCTCTCCTGGGAATTTACAGTTGAAAGATTTGTTGGATCAAAGAATTCCGTACCCTACTCGAGAAGAAGAGGAGGTTTTGATGTCCATTGTCGAAATTGCAACCAAATGCCTTCACTCCAATCCACATTTGAGGCCAACCATGGAACTTGTTTCTGATATACTGATGCATCCACCACCTTCTCAGGGAAGTCTGGACAAGTGAAACTTGAATTTCAGGAAAGTTTGCAAATTATGCCAATTGCTTTTATGCAGGTTTTTCATTTCATGCATTACTGTTAGTTCCAACAAAACTAGGCAATGATTTGCAACTCCTTTTTGTAGCTTCACGTTTGCCATGAATCTTGCTACTCTGAAGGATTTGCCTTTCTCAAATCAAATTGTATGGATTTGCCTCTTGTTTTTTAAGGAAAATCATCCCTTCCAGTGTTGTCATTTAGTGTGTCCAGACTTCCAGCTGGATTGATGTGAATTACAGTGTTTTTAAAGTACGATGGTGATATTCGTGTATATACCTGTGGAAGGGAGTTTTGTGTGCTTCACGCGATATCAAGATTTCAACTATAAAATGGCCTATATATAGGGTTTGGATGTATTCATTTGTCCAAAGGCTAATGCCTTCCATAAAGGTAGAATCTAAGGATGGCCACGTTCCGGTTCCCAGGTTAAGGTATTCCTTATTATGAGCTTACTCTGATTAGAACTAAACTAGTTGATTTCTTTTGCCTATTGGCCGACCGGCTTATTGCAACCTTTGCATTTTCTGCTCAGATCCCAAGTCTCCAAGTGGGCCCTCTCGGCCATCCACGACCTTGGGCTTCTTTTTAAGAAAAAGGTAAAGTTGTCTTGTGAAAAAGTATAAAACAAGAAATGATACAATTCTTAACGACTCAAAAGAGACATTATTAAATTTGAATTTCATCAATTTTAAACTTATTGCGTATTTTTCATTTCGATAATGAAGACAATTTCTTGATTCGGATTAAGCCCTTCTCCGACAGTTGTATGATCATATCAACTTATGATAATCTATGAATAGGTTTTAATGATTTTTTACCAGTAAACCATTACACATCCCCACTTAGATATAGCATATGGGAAAGCTCGTCTGAGAATGAATTCCATTACCATGAAACTCTGCACATTAAAGGATCACGTCAACCACATGAAACCAAAAATGTCTCCTATCAGAATGTTGAACGAGGTACAAACAAATTTTATCTGAGAATTTCTCATAAGGTAGATCTCTGTGTGAGAATGCCTTCCCCTGACAACTTGTAAGATCTTTGCTCAACTTCTGGAGGAGTTGAAAATGGTGCAATCGAATCCCGTTACTTCGTATGCAATCTTAGCCCATCTCGCTTTCTTTACGGGACTTGTGAATGATAATTCTGAAACGAATGAGAACCAACTTTCTGGGGATATTGAAGAATCGGGATCACTGTCAGACATTAGATGCCTTTATTTTTCCAAAAACAGAATGACAAGGTCCAATACCAGGAAACTTATCACAGTCTGAGCAATTGTACCACTAAAATTTGAGCAAAAACTATTTCAGCCAGAGAATGTGTCCGAGTCGGATTTGAGTAATAATTAGTCACTGGAGAAATACCATTTGATTTAGGAAATTTCACGCTTGGAAATGTTAAATCTCTCCCGCAATCACCTTTTTCGACTTATGACTTAAATTGTATTTGTTTTCATCTGAAACGG